TAAACGGGTCTAAAAAGATAAAAATAAGGGCTGTTTATTGTGGTGGAAAAAAACACCAATCTCATATTTATTATTCTATGGTTGTAACGTGGTGTTAAAGGGGCACTTATCTTATGATATTTTGTACACCGTATTGTTCTTCGTTAAGAAATAAAGAAGGCAGGTGACAAGTTGTCACCAAAGAAAAAGAAGTGATATTTTGTACAATAAAGACGGAAACTGACTGAAGGAAGTAAAGATGAGGTGGGACAAAGTATGTAAATGAATGTACATTATCAGTTATTAACTATTGTTAAATAAAAAATATGTGATTTTGTAAACGATATAAATGTTACGGGCAATTTGATAAATTGGGCATTATGCATAATGGCCGGGCATTATGCATAATTCCCAATTTGTTCGGCCAATATGATTAATAGAGAAGAATTAATCAAATTGCCCGATCATTATGCATATTTCCCAATGCTCATTTTGATAAATCATCTTATTTGAGTTGATTTTTCCGGCAATCTTAAGCCCCTTGCACAAAGTCAGAAGTGTAACATAATTTGAAATAATTTGTTAAAGCAGAGAATAGTTGGTATATGAAAAGTACACATAAATATTTACTTTTCATATATCAACTATTCTCTGCTTTAACAAATTATTTATGTTACAGATATTAAGTGTTGAAGTTAACGAAACAGAAATAAAATTGTTAAAGCAGAGAATAACAACTTCTATAAAGCAGGGCATACACCAGCATACACACGTGTGTGTGCCCAGCTTTAACGAAAATCACAACTTCTATAAAGCAGGGCATACACACGTGTGTGTGTGTGCCTTGCTTTAACGAAAATTACAACTTCTATAAAGTAGGGCATATACACGTGTGTGTGTGTGTGTGTGCCTTGCTTTAACGAAAACACAACTTCTATAAAGCAGGGCATACACACGTGTATGTGTGCTCTGCTTTAACGAAAATCACAACTTCTATAAAGCAGGGCATACACACGTGTGTATGTGCCCTGCTTTAACGAAAATCATTAAACAGTTACATCGTGCAGAATAACCAAGCATCTCGATTCAAGCAGTTAGGTCTCACGCTGGGAGTTTCATTAGTTTAATTATGCGTGGGAAGCACACACACACACACACACACACACACACTGGGCATTATGCATAATGACCGGTCAGTTTGATTAATTTGAACATTTTTGCTTTTATTATTCAAATGTCCCGAAAGAAGCGGGCATTATGCATAATGCCCGGCCATTACGCATAATGACTGGATCAATCAAATTGCCCGTAACATAAACACGATATATGTGTATATCACATGTGTAAATATAAATGTATAATGTAAATGAATATATGAATAAAATATGAACGAACTGTAAATGTGTGATATTCATAACTGATCAGTAAAATGGAGCAGTGTAATTTGATATTTTTCATTATTAACGATAGTGATCTGTTGACATCGCTGTCAGACAAATAATAAGCTCCAATTTTGTTCTTACTTTAAATGAAATTCTGACCAGAGTTGTGCAAGGTCATTCAAAGATAAATTAAAGAAAATCAAGCTTGTATATATCAAAACAATGTGGAATGGTCAAGAGCCAAAGATCTGTTCAGAGATTACTAATTAATTAGATTGTTACGAACCGTTGACAAAGTTCATTGTAATTAAAAGCTGTACCATTTTCTCACGCGTAAATTACTTGGTATATAGATATTATATATCTTTGTTTTTTAGATTTATTCAGGCAAAGATTGTGAATCTTGAATACATGGTGCGGAAAAATCGAGTATGGTATTCGAGGTATTCGGAAGATGTGCAGCAACAAGCGAGAAATGTCCAAATTGCGGACAACATACAAACACATCTTTTTCAAGGCTCGTGAAAGATAGCTGTGGCCACGCAAAGTGTCGAATGTGCCTGCTATACGAAGAGCATGGATGTAAAATATGCCAAAGTAAACACTGTTCAAAGAAAAGATGTTGAGAATTATTTCAGTAAATAACTTTCGAGTTTTGCTCTTATTACATTTCTCTTCAATCGGAATTTATATGATTTGAGTAATTTTTTCCTCTTGTAATAATAATTTTATTAATGCAGAAGAGCCACGTATCGCGAACGGAGATTTAAATGATGCACGAAAATCACCCACTGAAGAGATTATGTTGCCGTTGGAACTGGTCATCAACAAGGATTCCAAGTCCAAGGAAAATCGTCCAGATTCAAACTCTGCCAAATGCGGATCGTCGAATCGTTATGAGAATGTCACTTTTGACAACAACGAAGAAGCCTACGAATCTGTAACAAATGACTCAAATACTAATGACGATTCCAGCGAAGTGTACATTCCAAAAATAGAGTCTTACAATGTTGCGTTGAACATTGAAAACCACTTGAGAAATGACAGTGATCGTGACTCGAAGAATCCACAGAATCTACTTGTAAAAAATGTAGATATCAATCTTATAATTTTTTTAGTATACTTATAGTTATGTTACATATTTTATTACTATATTGATACGAAGATTTTCTAAATTATTAATTAACTACTAGTTAATTTCCAGTGCTATACATAGAAATTAAAAATTGGATTGGAAAATTATTAGTAAAACAAAATAGCAATTGTTTGCTACGCAAGCCAATTGAGTGTATTTCTGTCTTTTTTACAGAACAGTCAGGCAAAAGCAAAAGTCAATGAGGAGGTCGTGGAAAAGAACAAAAATGTCAAATCTCGTAACCGTAGTCACATAACGATAGTGCCGGGCACTCCGGAAAAGTACAAGTGCAATGCGTGCGGTAAGATCTTCCGCAACAAGAAGGGCAAATGCTATCACGATGCCTGTGTAACAGGCATCAGGCCCTATCAGTGTACCCTTTGCGACAAGAGTTTCGTCAAACGTTCTCACTTTGAATATCATGAGAGGGTTCACAGGGGATATAAGCCATACAAGTGCAAACTCTGTGAGAAGGCTTTCCCTCAGCAGAACAAGCTCAATAGACATATGTTTTCTCACAGCAGTAAGTGCGCTTTAGAATTATCTAATTGACGTATACTATACAACATGATTCACGTATCGTGATTATTGAACTATTATCTTGAATAATCATTTTTTTTTATTATTTTAAATATTTGTTTAATTTGTGGGGGCGAACACAAGGATAGAAAGAAATTTTATTTAAGTAATTTTTTTTTTTTTTTTACAAAATTACCTATTTTTTGTGTATAAATTCTTGTAAATTATTATAGCTTTTGTGAGGAATAAGATCATCCAATATGATCCTGAGATATTGTTAAGTGTGGGAAAATTTTAGAAAATATGACCTCACTACTAAATAAAATTTCTATTTTAAAACTATAGTTATTCAAGGTAATATTTCAGGTGATAATAATACGCGAACCGCTCTATGTATTTGTATATAACTGTAATTATATATCCTAGAGGAGAAACAGTTTGTGTGTTCCGAATGCAATAAGCGGTATAGCAAGAAGGATGATTTGAAGAATCACTTAAACGTACACAACGCGATGGCTATATTTAAGTGCAAGTCCTGTGACAAGTCTTTTCGCGTATTAACTAATCTGAAACGCCACATGCAGACGCATACGAGTAAGTATTAAAAAGATCTTTCCTTTTTTCGTGAATTCTATGCAAAAGTTGTGTTTAAACGGAAATTTTGTTTTTGAAATCTACGTTAAGATTATTTATCATATCTTTTTCATTTTCGAAAGAGTCCATGAATAATAACGAATGAATTATTACTGCAGGCGAACGGCCGCACAGGTGCGACCAGTGCGACAAGAGCTTCAAAGACAGATCTTTGTTAATACGGCACAAACGGACTCATGGGAAAGAAAGGCCGTTTTCTTGCGCTCACTGTAACAAAGTTTTCCTATCAAAGAGCGAATTACGACGACACATAACTGTGCATTCAGGTGCGTCAAATACGCTGTTTTCACTCGATGACAAAGTCTCGAATTTGCAAGTTTTCGCTTGTTTCCTCCAGACGAGAAACCGTTCTCCTGCGAGTACTGCCAGACGCTGTTTAGACGTAAGGACAATCTGAATCGACATATCAGACACCATCATACAGAGGACTTCAGTTGCGAGGTAACGCCAGGCAAAACGCCAGTCGTTGAAGCGGACCGAGTCTGTTCGACGACGAAGGGTAGTCAGCAACGACAGAAACAGAAGTCGAGGAAGACGCAGGCGAAGAGCACCGGTAAAGTCACCGCGACATTCGTGAGCTCTCGCGATCAGATTAACTCACGGCTCGACTCCATGGGCAACATCACGCCTGTGATAAGAGCTACCAGTGAAGTGAGTAACGCGGTACCGGTGATCAACGGGCCTATCAATATCAGACGGCTCGAGGACAGGACCGACAAGAAAATGTTCACCTACACAGAGCCGATTCCGATCGCTGAGGCAGTCGTGCTTAACTGTCGGATTGAGGAGAAGTTGTATCCGCAAAGTGCCAGCAGCCACAATTGCTTTGTGCGTAGCTACCTTAAGGACAGGAACTCCAAGGTGAATTCGTATTCTAACAATAATCTAGCGTCGCAAGAAAATCACAGTTTTGCGGCGGCCACATCCTCGCAAACTGGGGCACTTCTTGCGAGAGCGACGGATCAGAAGGATTCCACGACTGATGTCTACAAGGAGAGACTCGGGAGATGCGAAGAGGAAGAAAGAAGCAATCAGAATAAAGACGAGAATGAAAAGGAGGATGAAAGGAATCGTGAAAAAAGGAATTTCAAGAATCATGAGGATCCAGGCACCGTTTCTTTGCGAGAATCTAATTGCGTCTCTACGATCAAGAAGCATACAACACGGCAATCGGAGGGATGTTCGAACGAAAATTCAGCGAACAGCAATTTGGATGCAACGAATCACACGACATTGCCAAAGGATTCTCAGAACAGCTGCGCGAAGAAACAAAGCGACATGCACTGGAGGCGCAGAATCGCGGAGACGCTGAAGCCTTGCTGATCTCACGTAAATCGACTCCTTCGAATGCTATGATCAGAACTGGAGCAAGTTCGACGGCAATATGAGGTGTGCGGTAAACTAGCGAGAAAACATACAGAACTTATAGTAAATCTTTTTCTCTTATAACAAATTCTTTATAACGAAATTATGACTGAAACAAGATATCATCCTTTTCAATTTTTTAAATATAAATTATATTGACTTAAATCGTTGCGATATTTATAGATACGGTTTATAATCTTTATAGGAATTGCAAATTGTATAAGACTGATTATGAAATATTGTGATTATGTAGCGCTTGATATAATTATTGAAAATTGAGAGAAATAAAATATCTGAAATTCCATATAGAAAATATGGATGCAATTAAAAATAATGTAACAACAATTTATTGGCCATCCTCTTTCTTGTTAATTCTTAAAGTCAGTTTACATTATAAATAGAAGCAAATTTAGCATATTGTTTACATAATTATTAGTGATGGTTTATTTACAATAATTAAATTACTTTCACAATAATTGCACCGTGAATTAAATTATCTCTGCATCTCTCAGCCTTATATTTAATTAATTAGAAAAAAAGAACATGCTAATTATTGGCGCGCATCGTTAATTTAACAAGATTTATTCTTGTCTCTTAGCACTAATTCTTATTGATATCGAACGTTGATGGGAAGATTTTATAGAATGAGAATTTGCAAGATAAAAAAACTTTTGACGAAGATAAATTTGTAACTATATACGCAAATGAATATTAATAATACCTTTAAATGTATACGCTATAAACTCGTCCCTTTTGCAATTGCAGTTTTCTTCGTTACTTTTTTTTATTTATTTAAGTCCTTATATATAAAAATATAACAGTACAAAAAGTTACTAATGATCCAATGAAAATTCGAGGGTGTCGAATACCGCGTTTTTGGTTTTGTAAAACAAATATTAAAGACATAAATGTCTATTTTACAAAATCGTTGATTTAGGAAATTTAAATAAAGTTAGAGGGACGGAATAATTTGAGTAAACTGAAGAATTCGTGGATCTAAGGATCTATTCGTAGTCCTCTTCTTCGGGTCTGACTTGGACTTGAGGAAACCGTCTGAGAACTTGGTGGTGCTGCTGCTGCTGCTGCTGCGGCCGTCTGTGCTGAAGAGGAATGTTGACTTCTTCGGGGCTGCGGAATACCTGATTCACCGGGAAACGAAACTGCGGAAGTCCTGTAGGCTGTGGACGGGCCGACGTGGGAATGCTGTTCAAACTTGGCTGTGGATTCACAAGGATCTGTACAAGACCTAACCATTAACGTGTCAATACGGTTGATCGAAAGAAGATCGTACGTAAATTTATCTCGCACTCGGCACGAATAAGTAGAAGCGGCAAACAAAATAAAATGATCTTTTTATGTAATGCCGAAAAGCTCGAATTGAAAAATAGAATTACAGAATCCCAAGTCTCAAAGGGTTCTTTAAAAAATTTGAAAATTTCGAAACATTTATAAATTTAAAATTAGACTTTGTGCGCTCTATTAAAGTGCAGTATTTTAGAGATTCCTCAGTAGGAACACGATGAGGTCTGTTAAAATCTGAGATTCTAAAATTACTGAGACATTGCAACTTCTAATTATGATCATAGGAGTTAATCGTTAAGGATGATGATCACACCTGCGGAGAAGGACGACGCACCGGGGCAGGCGTAGGGGTGATCTGATAATCGCCGACCTCCCTTTCGTCCGTGTAAATGTCAGAGGGGTAATACCTCTCGCTGTATCTTATAGTAACATTAGGCTTGGTCTCGGCTTCTTGAAGATTCAAGGGCTTATACAAGTACTCATTGACGAAATGGTACTGCGAGCTCTTCTGGCAGCTGATGTCGCCGCTGGGTGGCATGCAGATTAAATGTACCTGATACGATGACAATAGTAAAATATATTTTAGTTTCGTTACACAAACAATCGCTGTGTAGGCGATATTTTTCTTCGTAAACCAAATTTAACTGTAAGATACCAATCGTTAAAAGATAGATATCGTTAACAGAATACTTCTGTTGGCCAGAATTAAAGATAAAGTCATACTAAAAAATTAAATAGAGAAGGATGTAACTGGTTATACTTCACCTGGTGGAAAGTGAAGCCCTCGGGACAGATCCACGAGTGCTTGGCGTTGTCTTGACAATAGTGGAAGACCTCGCAGTTGAGGTCCTCGTCAGCATAGTAGCCGGTCTGCTTGTTAACGCAATCGAATCTGCTTTGGGGTAGAAGAAGGCTGAGACGATCGGGCTCTTCCTTCTCCTCCTCGAGTTCCTCCTGAGTGGGTCCATTGGGACCAAACTGAGACGGCCCGCCCCGACCGGAAGAGCGCGATGAAGAACCAACGCGGATGGCTTGAGTGTAATCACGGTCTATCGGCGCTGCCGTTGGCTTGCGATATAACTGTAATATGTGCATACATAATGTTACGTTCATGTGTATAAGTACGCGCGTAGATAAATGTCTTGCTTTAATTTACTTAATTTTTCCCTAAAAACTTAATTTTTATAGATAATTTTTTTTTAATTATAATAATTATTTTATTAGATATATTTTTCATTAATTATCTATTAATCATATATATATTAAAATATTTACATGTTTTTAAATGTAATTTCTCAAAACTGACCGGTTGTTGATTGGCGTTCCTGTAGATTGGCGTCGGCGACGGCGTGGGCGTCACCGCGTTATCCTCGTAACTGTTATCACGGAATCCTTGGGCCGCACTTAAGCCGGGCGAGTAAAGTGGTCCTAAGCTACTTGGCTTGCCGGGAAACGAAACAGCTCTGGTTTCTAAATCGTAAGAATTCTGCGCCGCGATGGCGGAACTGAGCAATCCTAGAAGCACCCAATACATCCTGCAAAAACATAGGAAATAAATGTAATTCAGCGCACGGAGAAAATGTCTCGTTTGTCTAATTATTTAATTGTAACTAATTAAACTAATTATTAAGAGAGGTCAATGATTTTAACTTTATATTAAATTTTCTAAATTATTATTTTATATTTATATTTTATACACTTTTTCAGTTATGATTTTTTTAGTGATTATATCCGTGAAATTAATCATCTTGTAGTTTCTGAAAACGTGATGCAAAAAAACTTCCTTATCCCTTGCGTTATAATATATAATGTGATTATTCTGATTTATAGCGTGAAGCGACGAATTTCGTGCGCCAATTTGAATCAGAATGACAGATTAAAGGACGTCGTCCACGTTACCGCTTTCGATTTCACGGTCTTTTGATACAAATGGCTGCATTTTGAGGATATCAATGGCCAAGATCACTTTCTCTCGCCTGGTACACGTGCGTGCTTGCGTACGTGCGTACGAATTTAATAGACGTCGATTTGCGAGAAAGTACGGCAGTACGTGGCTGCGATTTCTCAAATAAATGTTCTTTTGCCTTTGTAATGGCACTGCTATATGATTACAATCCAACTCGATCTCCCAGTTTAAAACTACCTGGGTCATTGTCCAAGAGAGTGCTTTCCGCCAAGTTTTTCCTTTCATATAAATCATCCCCGACAATCTAACAATCAAGAGACACGATAGCATTTCGATATCAAGCATATAAAAAAAGAAAGACATTACTGAATGATTATCCACGTCTAAAGTTGCTAAAAAGAAATTAGATAAAATCAAATATGTAAAAGGAGAAAAACATTACGAAATAATTTATCTGGAATATTTATGTCTAAACTTAATTGTTAAAAAATAAAATATAATAAAAAATATTAATATAAATAAAATGCTTAAAGAATTAAAATGTGTATTAAAAAATCTAGTGGCACTTTTCTTATGCAATGTCTTATGCATACTTTCGGTTGCGACCAATCCGATTAAAATCGGTGTGACATCATAAATCTAAACGCTATAATTTTTTGCGGAAAAGGAATGTGATATAATTTAGCTCTCGTAGTCGCAATTTTAGTCTCGTGTATACATGTACGCAACGTAGAACAATTTTATCCGTCAACACACTCGCAACACTCGATCATGAGTATAATATTGGCACTTGTGAATAGGTGTGCATCGATATGCATATGCATGCAGTAATTTTTCCAAAATAATGTTCCACAGCTAATTGTTTGACAAATGTTTCTTATAATATTTCTTAGAAACCTATATTCTGATTTTCAACCATAAAAATGTAGGGCACAAAGTCCCACTCTACCCTTTAATTCGGGAAATATTTCTAAAATGCTGAAACGACGCTTAAAGAATTTTCAGATAATAGAATCCAGGTAATGGCATTCTTTTTACTTGTGCACGCGACTATAGATATAAACAATTACCTACTCGATTAATCCTGCATGTCTATTTTCGAACATTTTAACAGTTTCATTTTTTTACTCTTTTATTTACGGTAATTTCGAATGCCTTTTATGTATTTGACATACATTTTTTTACCTTTCTCTTTAAACTTTTGAAAAACACACCACGAAGTGTATAAACATATATGAAATTTAAGAAGCTAAACTGGAATACTTGAAGACGTGAGAGAAATGTAAAGATATATGTATGACTAAGAAGAAAGGAAAATTTTCCAAAAATTGAAGAAGTTGACAGATCGAGGAATTTACTGACAAACAGACCAGGTAAGAGAATCTAAAAACTTGTTGAACGCTAAACGTTCAATGACGCAAACAAAAATTCACGATATCATTTATTATCGTCTCTCGTTTTCTTGTCACTTAGCCCGAGCGCCAAAGCAATTAGAAACTAGCTTTCCAGGTGGCATGTATGCCACATGCCGCGCGTTCGAGAATTATTATGGAAAGCACTTGAGCCCGTTGAGCACGTCATCGTCATGACCGAAATGGCTTTAACCGATCGTGAAACCTCCGTCCGAGTTTTGCACACATAGAAAGTAACACGCTTTCCTCACGCTTGCTCCTCGCAAGATCGATTCTCTCGCGCTGCTCCTATTCACAAACCTCTGCACCACCGATCACGCCGCGCCGGCGGCCGTCGAGCGAGTTTCCTTTCGCCTTGAAATCGCTTTCGGATGGTGTATAATTTTCTTTTTTGTACAAATACACATCATCTAGTTTACATGAAATGTAAATTGAATCCGGCCCACGTTTTCTTATTTCAGAAAATAATTAATTTCATGGAATTAATTAATGTGATTACCGCAACGTCCGCACTGCAAGGAAAACAGATAAAAGAAGAATTGCTAATATTTATTTCTATTAGTGCTGATTGCTAGTGCTAGTGCAAATTAATTTATTTTTCAAATATCCGGATATTCAAGAGAAAAATAAAGGAATAATCCAAATATACGAAATTATCTTAGATAATTCGGACAGTCCGGATATTAAACGAAAATAAAATAGCTAACGTCACGCGCGTGTTTCTTCAACGACAAATTTAAGATTAAATTCAAAATTTATTGTAACATCCATTTCAAGAATCGCGATCTCGAAAATATACTTCGAAAATAATAAAAGTAAAATAAAAGTTGCGTTCACATGATACATATTGTGCGGATGAAACCACGTTTCTGTGTTTCCCATTGTCACAGAAACAATAATTTCACGGGGAGCTAAGTTGTAAGCGTATCGAAAGGGCAATATTAGTTACATAAGAAATATAGGTCAAAGGTAAGTCACCATTTTCCACGTAATAAGACACCTTGCGTAACGCGATTTTTCTGCGGACTCGTCGTTCGCTTCGTCTGCAGATTTAAGATTAATGTCACACGATGAATAGGTTGCAAATCGTCATTACGCAGCTAAATCATACGAACTAATTAGACTTGTTGACGAAACAAGCAACATTTTGACTTCTTAAATCGTATAAATTACAAGGTATCCTATTAAATATATTAAAAAGTATTAATTATATATATTTAAAGAGATTTATACATTATCAATGTGATTATCATCTTCTCGTGACAACATCATGTTACTTCAGATTTCATAATTTAATTTTCATAGTAATTTGTAGTTTTTTCTGTAAATGATACAGATTATGTAACTTGAATGTTATGCGAACAAGTGAAATAATCTGAATTACGTTTGCAACTTGCAGATTTGTTTCAAGTAAATATTTCTAATTTTTAAATGTACCGGATTAAAAGACATTTCCTTCTTCATGATTATTATAATAAGTGCAATTCATATATACTTAAAGATAATTATAATTACCTTTAAGTATATGAATTACACTTATACATATTAAAAGAAATGTTACATTATTTTAGCACTCCTTGATAAAACTTCGATGCTTTCGTTCAGAAAAATTTTATTATACTACCGCTCGAAAATTGCGTTTCGCTTCTTAGAAGTGGCTTGTACATTAATGTGTGAGTGTATGCGTGTGTCGTATTTAATGAAAATCCTGTACCGGTCTTTTTCCAGGCATGTTCCCCAGATTAAAATCCGAGCAAAGTGAAAGTGAGAGGAGTTGTGTGCAAAAATGGCATGTAACGCGTTCAACGAAGCACACGAGACATAATATTGCATCGAAGTTCAGTTCACATCTCCATAAACGACACAATGCTCGGATTGATTACGAAACAGATATAAATTTTTTTCTACGATTGATCAAGGTCATGGTCATCTCTAGTAGACGTGATTAAATTAAACTTTTTCTTGTTGACTACGTATTCCCTTTATTAATAAATATCAATCCTGAAGATGTGGAGAACATGAGAAATTGTAAGATTAATTGAAACAAAGTCCATTTTGCATGATTTTATTCCGGTCTCTTAATACCATCCTACTATATTTTTAACAAAAAATATGTATAAATAAAATTATTCAAATATAAGACGTATATCAAAACTTCCGGTCTTAATTTCATTAAGAATTTCATCATTTTTTAATAACGGAATTTGACACAGTAAACATACGCTATATTTGCGTCATTTGTAATATTTACAGTGCATTAATGCGCGTGCCTTACCGTAGTTTCGTATGTATCTTTTATATTTACCTAATTTAAATATACGTATACGAAATATATAGATTTCTCCTCAAAATCCAATTGTCACGTTTTAACGACCGAGGGGGGCATTAATTCCAGCTAATCGTTTTTGCTTGTTCGATCGGTTTCTCCAATTTCGTCATTAGGAAAATCTCGAAAACTTTCTCCACCAAGCAGATCGCACGAATGATTATATTACTATTGATATAATCTCCGGCAATGCTGCAATGATGCGTAGTAATCTTTTTAACAAAGTCTCCGCATGACATGTGTAATAAGTGTGCATGTGTATCACGCGTGTACACCAGAAGGGCGTTCTCCTCGCGCCGCGGGGGCAACCGCAGACTTCCCGCCTGCCGCGCAAAGAAAGCAATATATTGCATAATGGAAAAAGAGATAGTTGTCCGGTAACTATCAAAGGCGGCTGTATAGTGTAATACGCATAACTCGACCGGTTGGCTTAAGGAAATTTCAAATAGCTGCCGCCGGGCAACATTTTTTTGCATAATTCCTCGCTAAATGCGACCCGCCAATCAATTCGCTTCTCATCGGCATTAATCTTGTCCCTTCATCAGATAATAACGATTACATGCCGTGATGTCACTTTAAATTGATATTAACAAAATCTGTTGAATTTTTATTTTGAAAAATTAACCGATTTTATTAATACCAATTTTAAGTGACATCACGGTATGTAAATTGTAATTTGATAATTAATCCGATTTTTCATAAAGAAATCGTAATGATTGTAATGAAGAGATGAGATAATAGTACACCTGTCGGTAATCAAAACTCGATCTTATTAAGGATCGATTGTTTAGTTTTGAAAACATATTATAATTTAATAATTCTGAATTAATATTAATATTATTTTAATTTAAAAATAAGATAGATTTGAGTACTTTGACATTTACAATGGATAAGGTAAGACTTATCGTATATTGGATATCGATATTATTAACATGAACGTAATGGTATTTTAAACAAAACATCATTTCTTATCTCAGACATTATGTGCGTTTAATTTTTAATTCGATATCATTTGCATGCGATCTTTACATCAGCGCGAGCTATGAAAAGAAGCTTTTCTCGCTGCATTTCAATTAAGCCGATCTGTGCGAATGTGCGAGAGAAAAATAGAAAATATAAGTGAATTCGAACGTGCGCATTGGCGTGTTACAGAAATACTTTCTCTAAGGTAGCAACATTGTTTCATGTCGAGGGACCTCAGGAACCCGCCAACCCCAAGTATTTTATAAAATTAACTCAGTCACGCACGGTGAAACAGGAATTATGACACGTGCCTATAGCGAGCAACCAACGAGAACCGGTTGGGCGCACCGCGAAATCATTTGGTTGCGAGATAAGGAAGTCGAGCCATTTAAATCGTATTTATCTCGATAGCGCAGTCGTTAACCCTAGCATACCGATCGCATTCTTAGGCGTTAATCAAGTGTTAAATTTCATGGAATTTTTCAAGTTTGAAAAATTTCCAAACGGAAGAACACCTCATTATTCTAAATAGTTCGAGTGTGAATTAAAAATTAACATATAGACGGAACTTATTGATATTTTACTATCGAAATTGTATTCTACTAAAAATTATATTCTAATTTTAATATTTCAATTAAATATCTTTAAAGGAAAAAGTAAAAGAATTTCACCTCTAAAAACTGAATATAAAGATAATTATATTAAATAACAATTTAATATTATAGAATACAATATTTTACACTTGTAAAATTATAAAAGTAGGAGGGTTTAAATTCCAAAAACATCGCGAGTATTTTTCAAAAATATTAATTATTATAATTTTATTTAAAATTTAGTTATTATTTTTGTCTAGAATCTGATTAATTTCTAGTAGAATAACCGAAAAGAAAATTATATTATGTCAATAATGATAGTCAATAATTTAACTTTCTTTATTTTTTTTTAATATAAGGGATTTTGTGAATGAAAAAGATTCGAAAGCAAGAATTTAAATTTTTAACTATTAAATTTTTATCTCTATGTTAAATTTTAATATTACAAGTAAATATTCATATAAAATGGTGTTCAAACTATTAAAAAAATAGTTATTAATTCTTTAAATATAATAATATAAAATATAACATATAATATAAATTTTTTAAATATAATAAAAATAATAATTACAAAATAATTACTTGTAATTACAATAAATTCAGTAAATGTAAAAATAATTAAATATAAACAGATATAAGACACGAACTTTTTTTACGTGTTATATTTTAATATATTAATCATTAAAAAAATCTAACAGAAATAATTTTAAATAAATATGAATCTGTGTATAAGTAATATATGCATCGAAAACTATCACGTTCATTTTCATATCTTTGCAATTATATTCTAGTAATTGCAATTTACGTTAACACACGATCTGTTTCATCGGGAAAATTTACAAAAGTATTACCTTAACTATTATAACGAATTTAAAAAACTGATATTAATGGTGTAAAAGAGTATAACTACTATTATACATCAGTATTGTTGACGAAAGAATTAAGAGTCCCAATTCTTTCGAGTATCTTTGCTAAAAACAAGTAGCGATCGACACAATATGATGATGTATGGCTAAAGTCCTTCGGTCCCTCGAAATACATTTCATCGGCGCGTTGAAGTTTCACTGATTTATAGGGCCCACTTACCTGTCACTGACGAAAATACTAGGACAGGTCGATAAGACGGGCAAATACTGCGAGAGATCAACAACACACGCGTGCTTTATCTCGGCCAGCCGGCATGTCACTCTCTTATATAGCGTATTCCGCTGAAAGTTGCCTCCACCAGATGAAGTGGATTCGGTCCTCTTCAAGGTAGTGGGAGACTCCTCACGTCTGCATCATCGCGCTCCTTCTGCAGGATGCACCTGTTCGGAAATCCTTCGTCAAAGTTGATCTTATTATAATGAGCTTATTATTATAATCGCGCCTGTTTCTCCGCTTGTCGATTAATGGTATTTGATTATGTCAGAGGTCAGTGAATTTTAATAACGGCGGTAAAGAATTGTTGGTAAAAAATTAGCCTTACGTGTAAAATCAAGTAACTGCATTTTATTCTTAAACTCAATAAGAGTATAAGTAATCACAAGAACACGTAGTTAACTAATGCCTTAAGTTTAACTTAATAATCGATTTCAGACCTTAACAAATATTTTGTTTTGATATTAAGTTGTATAAAATATAAAACATAAATTCTAAAAAATTAAACAATAAAAAGATCTCTTGTAATTAATAAAAAATGTGAGGGAAGCTTACTTATAGATGTAGTACCACGCAAAACATTCTCTTATAAATCTTCTAATTTTGAAGGCTCATTTTTAACCGGGAATGTTGGGAGTATTGAGTTATTACATATGGTATTAAAATCCTAACAAAAACTATAGTATGCTGCTGAAATAATTAAAAGAAATAAAATATTTCTTAATCATTATTAGTTTAAAAGAAATCGGATTACAAAAGCTTATACTTAAGCGAATCTCATATTCTCCTGCATCATCGAAAATAAAGACTTTTGCAAATCGTTCCTTATCTCTTACGTTTCAAATTAAAACGAAAGAAAGTAAAACCAGGTGCACCCACGTGTGAAACTCATGATATTGAAAATTTTACAGCGCAATTTCCGAAGAAAGCACATAATTGTAGATCGCAATTGTTGTGAGGAAGTAAGATGTACTCTCCCGATACATCTCACGGTGTACAGAATCAAGATCGCATCTTGATTAAATGCGAGACGCGATAGAATGGGAATGCATAATTTAGCATGAAACTCCATTAATCTGATCTGTCGATCACGCCGGAAGATCAGTTGGCGGATCCGTTGGCAGAAAGCGAATCACGCCCTTTCCTGTGTCTTTTCTTTCCTTCACTTTCCACTATTCAACTATCCAACTATAAATAAACGGATAAAAAAGCTTACTGCTTTGGAGCATCTTTTGTTATACGCTCCATCAGAAAAACGGTTCATTAGAATATGCAATAGAATATGCAATTAATATACCTAGTAGAATCAAGGATGTCGGGTGGACATATTTTCTAAAAGCTTCGAATGCTCGAATGGATAAAAATGCACATTCTCTTTGAAAATAGCATATTATGCGTAGTAAAATAAAGTCGTAAAAAATAATACGGGTATAAAAAACGTACATTAAAACTCGAAATATATTGTCCAAATAGAAAAAAACATATTAAGATATAAATAATTTTGAAATTTTTTAAACTTTTACTTTAGTTTGTGAATTTATATTTACAGAGTTCACATTATCTTGACACATTTATTTCAATTTTTAGTTATATAATTCTTTCATACATAAATTATTGCAATTAAAACATTGATATTATTATTCACATTATTTTCTCTTTGCGTTTTTTTTTATTTCTATGAAAAGGACGATAAAAATCGGAAAAGTCATCTTTATTAAAAACGGTGAAACTTCGAGGCAAGATTCACAATCTCTCTTTTCTTCCTATATTTGCGAAATAATCGTCAGTGGAAGTTACTTTTTTATTTTTAAAGTCCCGTGTTTTTCGTTCTTCGAATAACTTTTTTAGAAGATAAAAGTTTCCAAAAACAAGCAACGTTTCTAATTGATAAATTTTGAATAAGAAATTTGACGATTTAATTTAAAGTTAATGATTTACCTACTTCTTCCTCTTTCGTAATTATATAGGCATTCAGTTTATAATAATATCTCATTTTTATAAACAAAGCATATTTATAATATTTATCTAATATTACACACATTATATTTATTTTTCTGTTTTTTATCGAAATGTTTCGCTTTTGCAAATGCGACTAATTGCTTGACTAGATGACGCCGGGTGACTCAATTCAGTTTATAATAATATCTCATTTTTATAAACAAAGCATATTTATAATATTTATCTGATATTACACACATTATATTTATTTTTCTGTCTTTTATCGAAATGTTTCGTTTGCAAATGCGACTAATTGCTTGACTAGATGACGCCGGGTGACTCAATCTGTCTCATAGATGAGAAATATCTCCGGAAGTGCATAAAATGCGAAAATAAATTTGTTACTAAATAAGGTTCACTAAACTCTCTCTTTCTCTTGCAAAGTAACAGCCACATTTGAACCAAATTCCAGCGGAATCATAAATCAATAGGCAAGTCGAATATCAACAATTAATGAGAAATGAGGACAATCTGATATCAAAATACACGTAATGTATTAGCTATTTATATATACTTGGCGCTTAGATTACATTCTTATTCTCATTATATTCTTGCTCCTTTTTTGCAAAGAAAATATTAAAAATTTAAACAAGAATATTCAAGTTCCCTAATAGCACAAGTCATTGGTAAGACATTGATTAAACATTGGATAAGTTGAGGAGTACAATGTCCGATATAAAGCCAATGTTAGCTACAAATTAAATGCAAATGCATTGCACATCGTAATACCAAATACCAATAGCAGGCGAGAATTGTCATATTATAGTTTTTGCCGAGATGTATATACTCGATTATATGATCATCAGAGACTATATTTTACGCAATAAATTTAATATAACGATTGAAATCTTATGTCAAGAATATGAATACTTTTGTGACTTTAAGGATCGGCAGAAAAGAATATAGTCTACAATATTTTAAGGATACAGTAGATAAATTTATTAAAAAGATTTTTACCTATAGTTTTTGCAAAGAAATTATCCCACAAAATTGTATGCATCGAATAATAATGATATTCTACTTTTTATTTAAAATTTTATAACAATTGACCCAATATTATCTTTTTAGCACAAAGATATTGGTGAATAAGTAAAAAAATTATTTCTACTAATATTCTACTAATATACATTAATCTAATATTGAAACTCAATATTGACTATAAAATGTAAGGTATCTACTTTACAGGTGCGAACTAATGTTGCGGAACCAATTTGTAACCAATATTGTTCCAATAACCGCTACTAGGATTACTATGATCTGAGAAACACAAGTGAGAAATATTCACAGTGTACAATTATTCATAAATATAATATTCACTGTATATGATTGTTCTTAGTATTGACTATAAAATTTTTAGATTCTTCTCAACCAAATATATTGGCCATTAATAAAGACTAAATAATACGATAAAGTTCTTTAATATAATATTCAATACAAAATTCCCACTTTAATTATCATTCTTCAACAATTGTTTAAAACTCATTGCAATCTTTGCAAGTGATCGTATATATATAACACTTTAACGCACTTTGTATAGGTACTTCTGGTCTAATAAATTATCTAAATTGATTCTAATATGTCACGTTCTATTATAAGATTTGCATTTTTAAATGCAGATTTTAATATTCAAATACATATTACGAGATATTAGATCTCATATGTATATTGACAAACTTCGAATATATAAATATTGTTTAATTACTCTATATAGTATAATTGTTAGAAGTCACAAGAGTCATTAGAGTAGGATTCATACTGGATTATATAAAGAATCTCATTCACCTCATTAATCGTCAATGTACAGCCGAGGAAACCTAAGTAAAGGTCGAAAGTATTACTGTAACTATATAGGCTGCGAATATTGCACCGTACATTTACACTTGCCGGTTTGTACTGACCCGAATATCCTTATTTGGACCTTTTCGCAAACAAACCATTCTTTATTGATAGAAATATATTCAACAAGAAAAGGAACTCTCTAAAGAGTTCCTTCTCTCTGAACCAATGACTATTCACATTCACTGATACAGATTTAGAGAGAAGATATGATTAGCAGCGCCAATTAATTTAGCAACCAACATTACACTCTATTTATAACTCGAAACATATGAAATTGAAATATTTCAAAGAATTTTGAGGAAACTAAAATCTTTTAAATCTTTTTATAACATTTTTTAATTCCATGATAAATTTCTTGTACAACCATTTATATTATTCTCTTTTTTAACGCTGCTTTCATTCACTTCTTAATTCTGAAAATTAATTATTTGATTTAAGATTCTGCTGAATTAAGTTCTACTTAAAATTACGTAAAAAATAAAATTTTGGAATGTGTACTTTTTCTTTTCCAAAATTTAAATTCTAAAAAGCATTTTACCTTTAATTTCCCATAATCTTAAAAGGTATCAATATCTTGGCATTTTTTCCTATTGATTGAAACATCGTGTTCTGTAAGTGTAAAATCTTCTTATTAATCCTAGAATCGCACCGAGGACATTTTATTTTTCTGCAAAAAAATAAAATAACCAGATTTTCGCGTTTGTTATGTAAAATAAATCTTTTTTCTTCTGTATTGCCACGTAAAACTTGTCACTTAAAATCGACACACCTTCGTTCAACCGTTACGTCCTGATTAAAATTTCATACATCGGTTGGGCGACGTAACTTTCTCACCGCCCCGCCCGACAGGTTTTACTTCCGCCTTTGTAAAATACTGTAACATAATATCTTTGTTCCGCTTGTACAGATTCATTCCTCGGATTTGCTGTAAATGCATTAAAAATCTCATTAATACGGTGGTTTGGGAGGAGGAGATAGTCGGGCGGCAATTATATAAATATATACACAAAAATCTCGTATTTGAAAGAAATTAGAAATTATTAATATTACAATTTCTCATGAGAATTATCTAATAACGTTATATTTTTTCAATAATCCTTAATTTGTAAAATAAAGAAAAATATTAAAAAAATTCAGAGTAATGGTTTTTGATACTTAAAGAAGCAAGTATATAAAAAAATGCAAAGTTTTAAAAAATATTCCAATATTTTGAAAATAAACACAGATATACGCTAAGCAAAGATTTAGGTTTATAGAAAGTCTTGTAAAGTTCGTATAAATAATGATAATAATGGTACCTGATTTAATTTGCATGCACTTATTAATATATTATCACATTATTACATAATACCTACAGCACAAACGGGAATTAACTGTTTACTGAGATAATTCGTTATTATATGCACAGGCGCTACGATTTTATTATACATATTGGCAATTCGTCACTGTCGGTGAAAAGAACGACCTTCGGCTGACGAAAGAAAGTCCGATCCGCTTCCATAAAATTTCAATAAATCGGCCGCCAAACAGTGCGTTGAATTCAACGGGAAAATGAGATCGAAAGTCTCGTGGTTCTCCACCCACGGAGAAACTCACCACTGACACGCTTAGTTTAATTTACTTCGATGGTATCGACAATGGATGCCAATTATCGTGGAAGGAAAGTAATAACACTTTGTTTTTCCCCTTTCTTCTGACGGTCGCAAACATTGGAAATATAGATGAATTGACAACTTAGCACGATTTAAACCATTGGTCCATTAATTATGAATTTTGTCTTTATATATTGCCTTTAATACTTGAATTTTTTTTATTTTTTTATCTGCAAAGTTTATAAACCGTCTATATAAAGCACAGAACATTTACAATTTTATCAAAAAATGCTAGAAACTATTAATATAAATATTATTAAAAAATTAGTAATATATTATTAATTTAAAGTATTTATTTTATTTAAAGTATACTACACAATGTTATATAATAATATTATAATATATGTTACTCATATTTTCCCCATATGGTTGACAAAATAATTTCCTACTTTCATAATTTGCTTGAATATTTTAGACTTAAGCAAGAAGCATTAATAATACCTTTTATATAAACTACATAAATTAAGTTTAGACAATTCGGCAAAATGATCTATGAGGGGATGATGGTCAATAAAATCGAAATATCCGACATTACCATTCCGTTCAAAGACTGATTCCAATAGAGAAGTGGACATTCGGTGTTGCACGTTGCAGACGCGTAAAAGAAACACTTTCACCGAGCATTTGGGCCTGATGGAGAAAGTTTCTTCAATCTCCGTTACGTCTTTGTTAATCAGAAATTCGACTGAAAATCTAAAGGAATTAAAATCTGATCTTCAAGGTCAAACCAATAGCGCTGTCTTAAAAGGAGAACACTCGAACAGTTTTAAAAGAGAACAATTTAAAACAGCCAAGGGATAAATTAGAGAATTGTCTGTGGAATCCTGAAATTGAGGGAAGCGGGATTGTAAACCAGCCTCCTACAATGAAAAATAGGTTTCCAAGTAAATTAGCTTCTTTTGCTCGCACTATTCTTCTACAAAAAAAAATAAAAAAATCGAAGTTATGCTCCCAATAAGATTGTTTTATTTTTAAATTTTTATCAGGTAAATAAAATAGTTACCTTTGTCAATAAATTTTTAGCGAATAAGTTCTTTCTAGGAAGTGTAAGAAGTATATCCATTACGCAATCTCTATAGAGGAGGAGGAAGTTTAAATATATCAGAAAGATTTTGACTAAAAAAAATTACCATAGTTTTTAATCCGTCGACCGTCGTGGATTTTCTGTGGATCCTAGAGCAAATACCCAAGGCGGGGACTTGAGGAGAAACGTTATGAAGACGAAGGGTCCGTAGTAATTAAATTCCTCTTCTCTAAATCGAGAAGAAAATGGAAGAGGACATTGTCTGAAACAAGAACAGAGAAAGGGGCATTAAAATGTAGAATCGAAATCATGGTGGGATCGATTGGGTTTAGATCAATTCGGGAACGACATGTTAACTTGAATCAAGGCCAAGGTAAACCGAGAAGACACACCGGTAGTCTGGAGTCAACTTGTCAATGTAATCCTACTCCCTCTCTTCAAGTTCGTTATTCGACAAACAGTAATGAAGAAAGTTATTTAAACTGCTCCCTCTCTTCAAGTTCGTTATTCGATGAGGAAAAATGTCTTTGGCTGACGAACTTCTTGCCGATCTCGAGAAAAATGACGACGCGGATGTTTTTATGGAAGAGCCGGAGCCGACGTTTATCCCGGCTTCAGTTTCTAAAGTCATAGAAGAAGGGGTTAGTTTATTTTACAGTGTATATGGCAATTTATTTTTGTACATACAATGTTCTGTTCTACACAGCGCAATTTACATGTTTTACATTTCATGCTTATCTCTAATACGTTACATAAAATTAATTTGTCTTTTTTTGTGCAGAGATAAAGGTGTCCTCAATTCGAGAGTTAGCCAAGTTACGAGATTCGGAACAGCTGCAGCAAGTTATGTCACAAATTGAGAGGCACAGCAAAGTACCCAGGAAGTCAACCGATATCATAGGACCCGTAGAATCCGATCCGGAATATCAGTTGATAGTTGAAGCTAATGATATGGCAGTTAAAATTGACAATGAAATAGCTACTATACACAGATTTACCAGAGACAAGTATTCGAAAAGATTTCCAGAATTGGAATCCTTAGTGGTAGGACCATTAGAATACGTAAT